CCCCAAAACCCCAAAACCCCAAAACCCCATGTAGTAGAGGATTTTTAGATTAGCTGAAGTTAAAAATATTGAAATTCTTGTTTTTTATATTTCAAGAGCTAGACACAAAATGACCACAAAAATCAAACCTTCTCCCTTAGAATTTGCAAATGATATTGAAATGCATGAAATGACCACTGGAAGGGGTTTTGCCAATGACATATAACTTGAAAGAGATCTAAACTAGATAGATTAAGAATTTAGTGATATAAAAGAAGATAGTCCTAATTTAAATGATTCTAAAACTAACATGAGATCTCAGTGTTAAACAGCAGGTCATATCAAAAATTAAACATATTGGGGAAGTGATATGAACATTCAATAAATATTCTTGCAAAATACTCAACACAAGTACTCTTAAGAATACGACTATGATAAAGCCAAATTTGAAGAAGAGGCAATGTCGTCATGTAAGGGATTATAATCAATTATAATAAAAGAGGATGAAGAGTTTGAGAAATCTGAATGGAATAGTACGAATGCTGCAAAAGAAAATGAAAAATAAATCCCAGATTAGTAACTCTAATCAGCATCTGCTGTCAAAATGACTCAGAATAATAACTTAATGAATGTTATTTCAACTGGACTTATGAAAAAGCTTGTAAATATTAGTGAATACGTGGTCAAATTCAATACATTCAACTTCATAAAGCTATTCATTTATCATTTAATCTTTCATTACTTTGGTCCATTGATTCTTGTGATCACTCCTATTTTTGATAATTTTGCTCTTTGTGTAAATATGCAATTTTGGGGTTTTAGTATTTCAACTCGGAGTACCATTTCTCAATATACATAATTCATTTTGATTTTCATACAGTGGGCTCTCATTTTATTGAAAGAAACAAATACTAAAATATTTGGCTTGAAGGTTGAACTTAGAAATATTTACTTGGATTAATTTTTGATTCTTAGCCTGACAATTATAATCAGATCATTTATTGTAGCAGTGAGATATGGATTTAGTTCTAAACTTAGATTCAAGGTCCTAAGATCAACCAGGAAAGATGCCACTTACGTCAGCTAAGATCTCATAGCTTAAAGTTGGGTTTATACTACTCCAAAGTAGTTAGATCCTGAAATAGATTCTGTGTTCTGGAGAAATCAAATTGAGGAGAAATAATTTTTCATGAGATTTTACGAGGAATTAGATGAAGTTACTACATAGAAGTTTACAGATCCAGATTTCTATAATAGAGAAGGATTTGAATTTGATATGAATTCTAGCAGAAAAGAGTATTTAGGCCATGAAACAAGAATTAGAAAGAAGTAAGATGATAAAATTGAACTCGATCCATATGATGAAGATTATGAGATGTATAGCTTACATTCATTTAAAAGAGGTTTATTTTCTAAAAGTTTGAAACCCAGCTCAGGAAGATTAGTTTTTAGAGAAATTGCTATATTTGCAGGAGCAAAGTGTGTATCTCTTAAATATATGCTAATTATCCTTCCAATAATCAAAGCGTCATTAGTATTATTGATAAGATACTTGGAACATGGTTCTCCAATAGCATTAGATATAGATGGCTTTATCTACTAAATTGCTGAGCTACCAGTATTCTGGTTTTTAACTTTCGCCAATTATCTATTCGTTGCAATTGGATTGATAGATTTCTAAAGGAGAGTTTTTATGATTAAAGCTATAGGATCACTAATCAATCCGTTTAAATAGGATGTCAGTGTCAAGTACATGATATTCCCCACTCTTGTTTTAACTTGTAAGGATTCCTTACACTCGTGGTTTAATTTAAGAATATGCGCTATGGATTTTGGAAGGAAATTCTTAAGCAGAATATTTGTATATTGCTCAGCTTTTCTTGGTTCATATGTTTTCTTTGTGGTTATTTTACTGCTTCAATTCTTCAACTTCATTCAATTTTAGCTATCAGTCTATCTGATAGTATTGATATTGTTTGACATTTTTATAATTCTTGGGGCAATGTTAGTTATGTTGTATCTTGGAGCAGTAGTCAATCATTAATTTGTACTAGATAGATTATAACTTATAAAGATAAAGCAAACATTCTTGTATATGAGGCTTCACATTGATGAAGTTAGAGGGGGAACCAAATTTGCTGGGGCTTACCTTAAAATCTTTTAAAAGCCTTTTATTAGATATGCAAGTGAGTAAACTTCAGAAGAAGCCGTAAAGTAAATTGACGATTTGATTAGTGAAATTGATGCAATGAGTCAGAGATTGGAGTTAGATGGGGAGCATCAGCCCTTGAGATTAATGGGACTTAAGGCTACATACAGCTTGATGAATCAAATATACACAACACTATTTACAATTATTTTCGCTGTTGCTCAAAAATTAATGTCATGAGCCTCATATATACAATAAATTTATACTAGATATTGCTTTTGGTCAGATTTCATTTAATATTTTTATAATCTTTTATTTGTATTGGTCTATTGACTAAAGGGGTTTTGGGGTTTTGGGGTTTT